TGAACCCCTAAATACGCGGTATCTCAAATTATTAGACTTTGTAACTCGAACAAAATGTTATTTCCCTACGAAATATTGATAGTAGATATTTATACTCTGTAACTCGAATTTCAAAAAGGAGACTCCGTAAGTCGTAGTTAGTAAACAATAATGACGTCTTACTTGAAATTTTCAACTATAACGCCCGGTAGTCAAACATAATACGTCCTATAAGTAAAAAAGTATGGACATTAGAAATAAAAGTTTCAAACAAAAGTTTTGGAAAATAAACTGACCTTTCATAATAAATTTATGCATTTTATTGATTTATCTAATATTTCAAGAATTAATGGCCGCGATAGAAAAACCGGATCATTAAATGGGCCATAAATCGTAAACGGTAAGTTTTACAAAAAGTTTACTGGATACAATAAATGAGAAATTTTATTTTCTACAATAATGGTTTTTATAACTTTTGCCTTAAAGTGCATTGTTTCCGATCGAAGTTGGACTTACCTAGTCGGACTATTTGTCTCAGGTAAACGTACTCGTCAACAACTTCGATCATAGTGCTCCCAACAACTACCCGCATAGGTGTGACATGGACATTAAACATGATCTTTGTTTTGTCCATGTTCATCTTAAAACCTATCCGTTGGGAGGCACTGTTGAGCATAGTGCTTAAGTCCTCCAGCGATTCTGCCATAAGGACTATATCGTCGGCAAATCGAAGGTGAGTGATGTACTCGCCATTGATGTTGATAACCGTATCCTTTCCAGTCCAGTAGCTTGAAAACGTCTTCCAACGCAGCGGTGAAGAGTTTCGGGGATATAACGTCATCCTGTCTTACACCTCTCTGCAGTTGGATAGGTTTCGAACTCTTATTCTGTACTCGGATAGCCGACGTAGCCCTACTGTACAAACACTTCAGCACGTCGATATACCGACAGTCAACTTGGCACCGCTGAAGAGACTGTAGCACCGCCCAAATTTCGACGGAATCAAAGGCTTTCTCATAGTCTACATACGCCAGTCAAAGTGGAAGATTGTACTCTTAGGTCTTCTGTACAATCTGCCGCAGAGTATGTATGTGGTCTATGGTACTGAAGCCTTTTCGGAAACCGGCTTGTTCGGGAGGCTGGAAGTCGTCGAGTCTGCGTGCGAGACGATTCGTAATGACTCTCGAAAACAGCACGTAGGCGCGGCTCAGAAGGGAAATCGGTCTGTAGTTCTTCAAGAGAGCGTTGTCGCCTTTCTTAAAGAACAAGACCACCGCACTTCTGCTCCACGCCTCCGGAGTAGTGCCACCATGGAGGACGGAAATGAAGAGCTTCTGAAGAACTTCAAGTATCGGTGTTCCACCCGCTTTCAGAAGCTCCGCTGTAATGCCATCCTCGCCTGGGGCCCTGCCGTTTTTAAGGTGCTGGAGAGCCATTCCAATCTCGCTCAGTCTGACGTCCGGGATATCATCGGAATAGTGTCAGATAAGACTTACTCTTGGATCGTTACTCACACTTGCGTGTGGCTCCAACGATGATGTGTACAGCTGCCCATAGAACCTCTCAATCTCACTCAGAATCTCAGGTGTCCCGGAAACGATGCTGCCACATTCAGTCTTCAGCTTTGACAGTTGGCTCTTTCTGGTAGTCAGATGTCTGGCAAAGACTTTGGAGCCCTAGTTCCACTCGATCGCTTCTTTAATACGAGCAGTATTAAAGTTGCGTAAGTCTCGCCGCACGCATTTGGAGATCTGTTTGTTCAGTTGCCTGTATGCTGTCAAATCTGTTGACGATTGCAGCCTCATCTCCCGTCTAACAGCCATGAGATTAGGAGTTTTATCGGAGAGTTTTTGTGTTCTTCTGCGGCGGGTCTTGCAGAACTTAGCTCCGACCGCATGTACGGTTTCCACGAGCTTATCATTCATTCGTCCACTGCATTGCAATCTTCTAGGGACTGAAAGCGGTTACGGAACTCGAGCTAAATGGTATCGGGATTTTGGATCAGAGCACGAGGGGGACGGAGCGTTGACTTCATTAGACGAGACCTCTCCAACTTAACGTTTAGGTTCAGTGTGCCTCTAACCATTCGGTGATCGCTGCCAGTTTTCACCCTTGCGATCCCTGAGACATCACTGAACAGTTGGCGTCTGGTCGTCACAATGAAGCTTATCTCATTTTTTGTCGAAGCGTCGGGGCTCGACCAGGTCCACTTCCTGTGGGGCCGCTTCTGGAAGAAAGGGTTCATCATAAAGAGTCCCTCTTTCTCCATAAAGTCGGCCCTAATCAAAATTTCCCTAACTTCAACACCGTTTTTTCTTGTGCCTAGTTTTGATTTGAAGTCTCCCATCAACTTCGTGTAGTGGGTTTTGGAGGAATGCATGACTCCGGAAATATCCTCATACATTTCCTCCACCTCCTCATCGGGATGTGCCTAGGTTGGTGCGTAAACCTGTATGACCTTCAGCGAATACCGTTTGGTGATTCTGAGTATCAGGTACGCGACCCTCGTCGACATACTCCCAATCTTTACAACGTTATTAACGACAGACTTGTGGACGATAAATCCGATACCTCTTTGGGACTGATGATCGCCCTCTCGGTGATAGAACAAGTTGCCGACTCGAGGATTACCGTATTCTCCCCTTCTCTTCGGACCTCGGATAATCTAATAATATGCCAGCGCAACTTGTCTACCTCTCCTTCCAGCTCCAGTATATTCTCGTCAGTCCTCAGGGTGCTTGCGTTATATGTTGCCAGGTCGAGTCATCGTAGGTGGCAACCGAACCTCCACCGGACCCTGCCCAGCCGTTACCATAGTCGCCACCGTAGCCAGGAATAGCGGGGCCGCCGGGGACTGGGGACGGTTTTTTGCGTCGTTATTCATGGGGGGATCTTTGCCATAGTTGCCACGCTTGGCGAGCGGGTTGGCAACCGCATTTTTTTTATTATATCATTGTTGTTATCAGGAAGATGCTGCTGCCCATCTCCTGCCTGTCTCCCTCTGTCGCTTCTTACGACACCCACGGGAAGATATGGGGTAGTGGATATTCTCAACCGCCACTACACGGTCTATAATTGTGAGGCAATATTTATTACTATGGCACGTTGTAAGCAACGGGCCTACAATGTCTACGTCACAGAAATCTATGTGCCTCTATCGGCGGCAGCGGTCTATGTGAATGTGATCAAATCGTTCACTGGGCTCGAATGAACCTATTCCCGTAACAACATGACGTATTACTTTGCTTTTTTTGGACTGTATGCATGTTTTTACCCATAATCCTACTTCTTTGTTCATATTCGGCCGGAAAAACCTCTTAGTAACCATTAATCGAGTCGTCCTACTACCTGGATGGCTGATGTTATGTATAGATTCGAAAACAGCTTTCCTGAATGACAGTGGTACATAAGGTCTGATATTACCGCCCTCGACGTTACAGTATATACTTTTATTGATGTTGGGAATAATAATTCGCTCTAACTGTACCTTGTTCGACACGCCGACGTTCTGCAGCATCTGCAAAATTCTGCAGCTTCTTGCGCTGTCACTAATTCCTCGTAATCTATGACTGTTGGACAAACAATAGTTTCGATAACGCGTCCGTGACTGGATTATTGTTACCATTGAAATGTTGTATATATATGTTTCGTTTCGTATTCGAACCCGTAGTCCGAATGGTCCGAAGTATAAAAGGTTAATGATTTTTTTATGTTTATGGGAACACTACAAATTTTAAATAAATATGCCTGCATAATCACCCGCGTTAAAGATCACATAGCCGTCAAAGAATCGACGCTCCGGGAAATACGCGGTCTCTAAACACGTACAAGATCACCCTCGTTACTATATCAGATTTGATTCCTTCCAAGGATGATTCGCGAGTCTATTGAAATCAATGTCAAATGGGATCAAATGGGATCCTATAATTAATAAAATTAAATCCCAACCTAAGCATACAACTACAAGACCTCAAGATACTATAAGTTCATGATACAATAATTTCACTCTGCGGGTAGCTGACTATGACTTTAGAGCGTCGAACACCTCAGTTCATCCCCCCACCCCTACCGTGACCATGGGTGCGGTAAAGTGCCCGAAATTTAGGGAATTAAAAATAAGTTAATAAACTCAATAAATTCCGTTAAACTAGTTTTATTTAAATGTATCGAATTTTATTAAATGGTAGGACTCGTTTTATGCCTCAATTTCTGCCGGAGTCCATCTGGGTAGGTAGTAACAGCAGTAGTGCTTGATGCTTATATTATTGTGTTCTGATCTGAGTGGTATAGCGAGCCAGATACAGGTTGTGATGCATGGCATCTTAGTACCTCAGAGGTGACAACGCATCTATCGGGTTCTTTGTATGAAGCTGTCCATATATTTCAGTACCCACTTACCATCAGGTGAATTGTAGATTCATTTGTCACTTTATAAAAAAACAAGAGTTTGTTTTATATGTGGTAGAGCCATGCTGCAGTTATATTACTAGTATAGTTGTAGCACGAATGGGCGGCTCGACCGCAAAAGGACCACGCTCTCACAGAATACCAGCGTCAAATAGTAGCTTAATGCTGCCGTGTTTCGTATGGTGAGTGTAGAGAACCGGAGACCCTTTTTACTGGAAGCGAGGCATTCCATCTTAGTCCTCACGGGTGACAACACATCTGCATTTTGATTCGTATTTGATGATATATGTAGATGTCTATAGGCCACAGCAACCACTTACCATCAGGTGAACTGTGTGCTCGTTTGTCACCCTATAAAAAATGCACTAAGAGCCAAGTTGCATAAACAAACGTATTGTAAAATAAACACGTGATTACCGCGTCTGACAACTAGTTACAGCACCCTTGCATTCCAAAAATAAACTACTGAGAACTTTCATTCCTTTGGCATTATCTATGGTCCCAGTATTGTGCAGTTTCTTAAAAATAATTAAGTACCTGATAAAACGCATTTATAATCTAAATCTTAACATTGTGTGATATTCGATTTTTAAGAATATTGATTTTTTTTGCAGCTATCACCAAAAATACCGATTGCAAGGTCACAAGGATCTCTGCCGTAGCATTGGACTGGATTCTTCGAAGCTGCAGACCTCCCACTTGGCAGCCAGACTCAACGGGTACTTAGTGGGAGTTGGCGGAAAAACTCAATTTGAACAGGAAGTAGTGCGCTTGGGTCTGACCGAGAAACAAGCAGAATATGTGAGACGTGAATTGGAACGCAATGAAGGCGGTGGACTGGCCTGCTAGCTACTTTTAATAGTATTCTTACATTTTAACAAAATAAATTAATAAATTAATACCCAAATGCACACTGTCAGTATTAACTTCTTTTACTACTAGAAAAAAATATATGTAATAACAATAAAGGTTTAAAAAACATTTGCTTAAAATTTTCGAAATGCCAAAAAATTTTGAAATCACGATTAAATCTCATCAGATGAAGCTGTAATAACCGCATAGGCTAACAGCGCTAACATCACAGAATAAAGATAAAGGTACTAGCGAACCGCCCCGGCTTCACTTGGATAGAATATTATGAATTTAGTGGTATTTAGATTTATGATAATCAACAAAAACAATTTATTTTATAAAATTTTCAATTTTAAAAAATTATTTCCAAGGTTTTAAATAAAAGTACCTGGATGACCGAGCTTTCCTCGATATTTTTTTTTTTGGAAATTATATTTAGATAGAAATTACATACCGATGAAACATGAATAATATTTTTTGATCTTATTGACATAACAGAAAAATCTGAACTGGTAATTTGAATAAAAAATCATGAGTGCAATTATTTAATTTTAAATTTTCGTATTTTTAAAAAATACTAAGGCATATAGTTTTTTATATATATATATATATATATATATATATATATATATATATATATATATATATATATATATATATATTACAAGAATTGCCTGTTTAAAGGTATGGGATAAAGCCTAGATAACTCTTGGCATTGCTGTATAGTTTTTCGCAATATTTCATTACAATCGGTTCAGCCACTTCGACGATTAGACTGGATAAACAGACAGACAGATAGACAAAAAAATTACTTCATCTCTTAATAGCATTCAGATAATTCCCTCCTCTCATTAAAAGGCAGTTATTTCGATATTTAGACAGAACTTAATTTTATTTCTTAGTATGACAAATGTGTTGAGTCACAAAAGTATTATAAATACCAGTAAGTTATCGTATTTGACGGTTATTTAAATTAAGGCTTAGAATGGCGTGCGACCGGCATTGTCTGTGATATGCATTTTTAAATTTTAGGCGCGTTCCTAGAAAAAAAAACATTTTTTTCATTACCACCTTTTGCCAGGCTTATTTCTGAAAAGTAAGAAATCTAAGACACTATACAATAACCATTTTCTTATAATATAATATATATAATATATTTTGAATTTTTTTTATAAACACGCTAGAATCTTTTTTAAGGTTTGACAATTCTTGGAATTCATTTAAAAGATATGTACCATCAGGACCTATGATCAAGACGTGGGTGAAGTCCAGCTTTATACTCTATAAAATTTTTTTGCGTAAATTATTTTTATTATGAAGGATTTTTAAATGACACATTTATAGATTATATAGCACTTTCCATTTAATTGCACAAACTAAAACATTAAAAAAATATTTAAAACTGTTGTGTACAATAATTTTGGTCTTTTATAATAATAGTAAACTTTATTTCACAACTACTTTACAATGGGATGGATTTCGATATATGTTTTCATACATGGTAGAGCCACGCTGCAGCTATATAGCTGTAGCTCGAATGGGTCGGCTCGACCGGGGCAGGACCACGATCTCACTGAATACCAGCGTAAAATAGCAGCTTTATACTGCTGTGTTTCGTATGGTGAATGTAGAGATCCGGAGACACTTTTACTAGAATCGAGGCATTCCATCTTAGTCCTCAGGGGTGACAAAGCATCTGCGTTTTGATTCTTAATCGAGGATAAATGTAAATGTGATATGGGCCACAGCATCCACTTACCATCAGGTGGACTGTGTGCTCGTTTGTCACCTTTATTCTATAATAAAATAAATAAATATGTCAATTAAAGTATAAATACGTGCAGTTGTTTTTAGTTAATTTACAGGAGACAAAATTTTACCAGTGACTGAGTGAAGCTGACCTTGTGGGTATCGTTAGGGTCTTCATTAACAGAAAATACGGAAAATTTTATATAATTTTATAAAATCAAAAACTTTAGAATACCTTCACATAAAAATAAGTAAAAAATAAAAATTAAATGCTAGTGAATTAATTAGGTGTAAAGAAATTTTACTTTTGTTTGTCTTTAAACTTTATACATATATTATTTTATTACGCGACAGCTGTGCATTTGATCATTAGTAGAATTTTATTAAGAGGATATCCGAGCTGCAAGAAATTTGAAGAATATGCATTTATAGATCAATTGCTTGCGCGTTATGTTTGACCGAGATAGACAACCGAGAGAGACATGCAGTTCGGACTGATTATATCATTAAAAAATTGACGGAATCATCACCCGTACCGTATTACTCCGTTTCCTCCTCCAAGAATGGCCTGATATTGTTTTTTTTTTTTTTTGAGAACTATATCTAAGGTTGTGGCTCTTTATTTTTTATTTTCTGAAATTTATAAAAAAATATACAATATTTACAAAAAATATACATGCCAGTGATATATTTTTTCATTATCTAGGGAGAAAACAGAGGAATGCGTTTTTATGGACTAAACACGGCCTGAGTATCCTCTTAATTTTCTTTATTTCATTCCATTATAAGTAGCTCATGGCACGATACGTGTATAACAACATAAATCTCATATACTTGCGTTTTATTTATTTTTTAAAAGGCTTACTTTCAAGAATAAAATAAATAAGGTATACAGCATTAGGGTAATAATTTAAAAAAAATGTTAAATATTTTATATTGTAATGTTACAGACGCTTCACATAAATTTGTCAAACAAATTACATAGTGTAATATTCTTAGAAAATCATAAACATTCTATATTAAAAAAATTGTTTTATTTAACAAATGGTTTTTGCCACTTATTTTCCAAAGGTTTATTTTTTATTATTCTAAGCCCGCACTTAGCTACAATCCCACCTGATGGTAAGTGGTGATGTAGCCTAAGATGGTGAAGCGCACTGACTTAACAAAAACCTATTCACTCTTGCCTTGAAGACACTCACACTGTAATCGGATGGAAAGAAAGATGCTGGCAACTTATTCCACTCCTTTGCTGTACGCATGATGAACGACGTAGCAAACCGTTTGGTTCGAATGCGTGGTAAGTCAACAACGAAAGGGTGGAGACTGGCCGAACGTCTAGTTGTCCGATGGTGGAAGGGAGTGGGAGGAATTACATTATGCAATTCCTGCGCACACTAACCGAAATGCATCCTGTAGAAGACCAAAAGGCTGGCTACTTTGCGCTTGTGTTCGATGCTGGTGAGATTGGTTTTAACCGAATCCGGGTCAACAATAAGCCTCTTAGCACGCCTTTCCATTGAGTACAAAGCCGCTAGGTGGCATTATGCAGCACCAGCCCATATATGGCAGTAACACTCCATGCACGACTGGACTTGCGCTTTATATAAAGTAAGCAGCTGTCCCCGTGTGAAGTATCGCTGCACCTTTGCAAGGACTCCTAGCTTCCTTGCAGCTGCTTTAGCATTGGACTCAATAAACCGCCCGAAGTTCAGGTTTGAGGATATCTCAAACCTGAACTTCGTCCGGTCGTTGTCGGTTCTTTGAGTTACTATAGCCGGCCCATTACCACTTCAGCTTACTAATCCGTTGGGCTATGTCGGTTGCTCTGGTTATGCTGCGGATATCCTCATTTCTAAGTTTATGACGCAGAGAAACCCCAAGCCTAGCCCTTTCCATAGCTCGCTCAGTGACCTTGAGGGTCTTCATACGGCCAACGGTGAAGAACCACGTCTCAAATCCGTAAGTCATCACTGGCAACACCCACTGGTTGTACAATCTAGTTTTCAGGTTTTGAGGTATATCGGACGAGAAGATATGTCGTAATGGTTTTCTTATTTCTCAGACATGCAGGTATCTTTACGATGTTTTCCTTCACCACCGAGCACGTGGTACTTAAAATTGCAATTAACAATTTCATCGGTGCCGGCGGGGATCGAACACGGGCCACTCGCGTACTGTGAAATTAACAGCGGACGCTAACCGTCTGAGCTACCACGGCAAATCGTAAATGGTGAATGTAGAGAACTTTTTTACTGGATACGCATCCCATTTTAGTCCTGCGGTGTGGCAAAGCATCTGCATTTCAATTCTTAATCGAGGATGTATGATATATGACTATGAGTCACAGTATCCACTTATCAGTGGATGGACTGTGCTCGTTTGTCGCCCTTATTATATAAATAAATAAATAAAAGAAACCTATTTTTTTTTTTTTTTAATTTCCTACGTTTTGTAGATCTGTTTACATAATTATGTAGTTGAAAGCTAAAGATTAACGTTTAACGGATTATCGTTTTCATTACGTTAGTCACTCCACAGTTCACCTTTGAATATGGGCGATGGAAAACAATCGAAAAACCAGGAAATAACATAAGTCACAATTAAAAGTAATATATGATCGTAAAATTATTTTAATTTTATTATTACATAGCCCGGCTGTAAATAATTGTTTATTTTTTTAATATTTTTACAATCAGTAGGCACTTAGCTGATTTATATCACGATTCGTGACAAAACATCATATTTATAGGGATCGTAGATGCCAAGTTGCCTTATTATGTCAGTCATCACAACGTTCTTGCGCTAATTTCACCGCTAATGTGGGTGGATTGTATTTTCGGACTATAATTGAGTCATAAAGAAATGTTTATATACCTACCTAAATCTTGATCCTAAATTATAATTTATATGACTGTCGTAATTTATTATAAGTGATGATTTCTTATGTTTACGCGAACACTACACATTGAAATAATACTAGTTTTTACGGAATTTATCGCGTATATTTAACTTTTTAAATACCCGACGTTTCGAACGCTTTACAGCACTCATGGTCACGGGCGGGACTGAGATGTTCAACGTCCAGATGTCATAGTTAACCGCGGTTACCATGGATTAAAATTTAAAATTATTTGTAGATCGGAACAAAAGTTAAACTTTAATCTATGGTAACCGCGGTTAACTATGACATATGGACGTTGAACATCTCAGTCCCACCCGTGACCATGCGTGCTGTAAAGCGTTCG